CGGCTGCTCGGTGGCCGAGGGCCCGTTTCCGGGCCACCTGGTGGACGTCAGCGGCGCGGGGACCCTGTCCCACAGCTACCAGTACGAGGTGTGTCTGAGGGGAGACTCAGGGACCGGTGAGTTCAAGTTCCTTAAACCGGCGATCCCCAACCTCCCTCCCCCGGAACGTAAAACGGAGGAAAGCCACACTTTTAAGAATGGCTTTGAGTTCATTTAGGGATTTGATTATTGTGCAGAACTTTTATAGTGAGCGCTATTTCTTTGTAAAATGTATTCATTGTAATGTAAAATTCTTTGTTTTGGGTAACTTCATTTTACTTAAGAATTTCACAGACGTTTTAATGATTTGTTTTCTGCTCTTTTTTATACTAACTGTGGAAAAAACTAAGTGAGCTAGGATTTGCTTGGTCTTTCTTCCAAAACGCAACCTCAAATAATTTATTCAAATATACAGCATTTTCCTTTCAAGCTTAATGGCACACTAGGCTCAGCCATATTCTTTGGGTGTTCTGAGCTTCTAGATCCTCTCACTGAAACAGTTTTTATATGTTTGATAGAGGAAAATGCATGATATAAATAAAAAACATACATGGTTTCTAAGATGTTGTCTTATTTAGATTTCTTTTTTAAAAAGCATAATCAATCTTGCCATTCTACTTTTCTGCCAAATACTTCAGAGTAATTTTTCTGCACTTAGGTATTTTTCTTTGTAAACATTTTGAGAATGGTATGTATTGCTGGTAGATGTTGTATTAAAATAAATTCTAATCTTGTTTGGATTAATATATATATCCAGCCCACACTTTTGTCTGAGAACTTCCTGAGACTTTCCAAGGGAAGTAATCACTGCTGAGATGTTTATTATACCTTTCTTTACCTCTCTAGGTCATTTTTTATTGGTCTTGTTATAGACTCCTGATTAAAGTAGGAATAGTCACATTCTCCAAGTCCCTCAGTTTGTAATTATGATGTAGTTCATCTATTTTTTTTCTTGATTGCTTGTACTAGAAAATAAATATTAAGTATAGGCTGAGGTAGCCATGTTTACACTTGTGTAGGTTGGCAGCACAGAATGGCATGTAGAGAGGGAGGAAAGAAAGGAGAAATGGAAGGAAAATGAGAAGGAATAAGGGAGTGGTAGAAGCAGAAGCCTAAGAAACAAAAGAGACTAAGAGTCACTTGGTTGTAGACCTGTCAGTTCCTGATTCCAGGGTTCCTAAGTCCCCATTGTCTAATTGTCCTTGAGCCCTACAGGAAAACTCCAGTTTCCTAATAATAAAACTCCTTTATTTAACCTATCATGGGGAGAGTGCACTTCTTGAAACCAAAAGAGTCAGAAAAGATACATGCAATCTTGAGTACTCAATTAGACTATTTACCATAAAACCTAGGTCTGTTATTGCAGGCTTTTAATATTAACATAATCAATAAATGGAATAAAAAATGTACAAGCTTAGAGATAACTAATGTATACTGGAAAATTTTGTTATAAAACTTAATTTTGTAAACAATTTATAGCTCTTTCAACTGAAAGATACTACAAAAGATTTTATGGAATATTTTGTTAACAGGTTTCCCTCCATTTATTTTGTTCTCCAGGATTAGTTTTAAAAAGTAACACTGAAATTGTTATTGTTTGGATGTCTATACATCATACCTTCCTTATCATCTCTTTCTTTTAAAAATAACTGAGTTCAATGTGAGCAGAATTATTTTATCATCTAATGTAAAATCTTCAGGATCTAGAAATAATCCAATTTATAGATTATATGGGTTAATTCATGATTTCATTAACAGCAATTTGATTGACACATACTCTATTACTAGAACACTCGGGGAAAAAAATTCAAGCTTCCTGCCAAGTATATGGGCATAAAACTTTCCCCTTAGAAAAGAAAATAAAGACAAAATTTATCTGAGAGATGCAGATGGGAATGAAAAACTAGTTTTGATCCATTCACTTACTAACATAGGTACCAGCTTCTATCTATTAATATTTTAAAAACTGCATGGACAGTAAGGGCACATTTTCTTGGACATTTGATTCCATAATAGAGTCTGGTCCATGACCAAGACCTTTCTATAAGGAAATTATCTATTAGATTTTAACTGTCAACAGCATGTTCTCATATTTTGAGTTTACATAATCAATTTGTTTCACTATGTAGAGGAAAACATTCTAAAATAGAATGTTGATTTGAGTGATTCATACCTTTAATAGAGTTAAACTAATATGCAACACAATTTTTATACTTGGCCCATGCTATTTTCCCAGTTAGCTAGGTATTAGTGTGCCAGAATACGTGATAGTGTCTATTATTTAAACGTTATTAAAATATTGGCTAAAGTTTGATGCAGCTGGGGAGATCCAGGCCCCCTACTACAGATATTTTTCCCACCGATAGACGTAAAAGAACTTCAGTTTCATGCTAGGATGCCAGGATCTCAAGCTATCCATAAGGGATACATGAGTTGCTTGCTAAAAATGAGTTGCAATCTTCCTTACTTGATATAAGTTTTACGTGCTCTTTCAGATGAATCCAACTTATTTTCTTCTGCACTTTCTTTAACGTCAGCCCTTTATTTTTATGATCTTGACTATCCTACTTTTCAAGATCTCAGTGAATCTCTGCTTCAACATGTGAGTATCTTGGTTTTAGGAATAAATATAGATGTCTTTATAAATTGTTTTGGACAATGGAACAAGTCAATACAACATGCTCACAGAGGTACAGAGATATTCTCCTTAGACAGTATTTACAAATAAGTCATCCACAACCCCTTAAGCTTTCTATTGAGTTTGCATAATAAACTAGTTCTAGCTGGTCTATCACTTAAGTTTATACTCCTGAAACATGTGAATGAGTCTTTTCATCTACTGTGCTGGCAGTGAGTTGAGTTTAATTATGTATATTCTTTGTTTAGGAATAGACTGATAGCTACACATCATTTTCTAGTCAATTTCCCTGGAGAGCAGAGATTATACAATATAGTAGACATTATATTGTAAACTCCATTAGTTCAGAGAAGGCATTTGTATTCCCAGCACTTAGTACAGTGTCTGACATATAACATGAAATTGATAAGCATTTGTTGAATAAACAAATACAGTTGGCTTTGTTTTTGCATCCTTTCCCAACGTGTCTGGCACCACTTCCACATTCATAATCTCATAGGAAAACAGAAGTTATCATTTTATTTATAAACCATCCCATATATAATCTGTGGTTTGTTTTTGCGTGTGCGTAAATCAAAGTTAAGTGTGATGGGTTTTGGAGCAATTTCAGCAAACTAGGTTTAAGTACAACACATGGTGGCGCTGTAAGCTAAGGCTGCGAAAAACAGACCTGCGGATGGTTACTGTTCGGGCAGTCATACACCCATGCAAGAGAAGATAATTCCTTTACGGAATTACCTGGCGGCAGGGATTGACTCCCGGAGCGGACTGCCTAAAGACCAAACAGGCACTCAGATTCTAAAGACTTTTGGCGTTGGAGAAATGGAGGCTGAAAAGGAACGCTTTCCTAGACTAAGGCAAGTTCTTCTCTTTGTTTTGCTGGCTCACACTTGCGCGGAGCAGGAAGATTACCGTATTGCTGAAGAAACAGAGAGTGGTTCTTTTGTGGCCAATCTAGCAAAGGACATAGGGCTAGCGGTAAAAGAGCTCTCTTGGCGGAGGGCTCGGATCATTTTTACAAATGACAAAAAATATTTTCAGCTGAACCCTCAGACTGGAGATTTGCGAGTAAATGAGAAACTGGATCGGGAGGAACTGTGTGGCCCCACTGAGCCTTGTGTACTTCAATTCCAGGTGTTACTGGAAGAACCTTTAGAGGTATATAGGTATAAGCTTTTGGTCACTGACATAAATGACAATTCCCCTGTGTTCCCAGAAGCAGAAATGATTTTGAAAATCATGGAAAATACTCTTCCAGGGACTGTGTTTCCCCTGAAAAATGCACAAGATTTGGATGTAGGTATCAATAATATTCAAAACTACACCATTTATCCCAACTCCCATTTCCACGTTCTTATGCGCAATAGCGGTGAAGGCAGGAAATACCCGGAACTGGTTCTGGACAAAGCCCTAGATCGAGAGGAGCAGCCTGAGCTTAGGTTAACTCTCCTGGCTGTAGATGGTGGAGTTCCTCCCAAAACTGGGACAGCCTTGGTCCTCATTGATATCTTGGACATCAATGACAATGCCCCTGAGTTTGTGCAGCCACTCTATCGTGTGCAGATCCTGGAAAACAGTCCTCTGGGATCTCTTATTGTCACTGTTTCAGCTAGAGATTTAGACACAGGAACAAACGGCCAAGTATTCTATTCATTTTTTTACGGTGATGAAGAGATTAGTAGGACATTTGCACTTAATGAACTCACAGGAGAAATTAAAATAATTAGGGAACTAGATTTTGAAAAAATTATGTCATATGAGCTGGATATTAAGGCCTCTGATGGGGCAGGTCTTTCTGGAAAATGTACTGTCATAATAGAGGTGGTGGATATAAATGACAACACCCCAGAACTGACGGTGGCTTCACTTATAAGCGCCATCCCAGAAAATTCCCCTGAGACCACAATAGCTCTTTTCAGTATTCAAGACCGAGACTCTGGGGACAATGGGGAGGTGGTTTGTTCCATCCAGGACGATGTTCCATTCACTCTGAAACCTTCCGTTGAGAATTTCTACAAGCTAGTAACAGAAGGAGAGCTAGACAGAGAGAGCCAGGCCGAGTACAACATCACCGTCACCGTCACCGATCTGGGGACCCCCAGGCTGAAAACCCAGCACAACCTAACGGTGACGGTGTCCGACGTCAACGACAACACCCCGGCCTTCAGCCAAGCCGCCTACACCCTGCGGGTGCGCGAGAACAACAGCCCCGCCCTGCACATCGGCAGCGTGAGCGCCACGGACAGAGACTCGGGCGCCAACGCGCAGGTCACCTACTCGCTGCTGCCGCCCCAGGACCCGCAGCTGCCGCTGGCCTCGCTGGTGTCCATCAACGC